CGAGAACCCCTCCAGACACCCCAAACCCCGGTACCCCTCCCTCCACATTAGCTCCACTGCCCAACAAGACCCAGTCCAAGAACCCCCACCCCCACTATGTGATGAAGCTGAACAGCAGAGCCCAGAGATGTTTATCGGATGTAGCGGCAGAGGCTGTCTCAAGACTAAAGTGATCTAATAAGAGATTAATTTAATACTACTCCCTGGTTAATACTAATAGCGTTTTTATTTTTCCAATTCAAGAGTATGGTTTTCTTTGCAATTCAAAAGGCAGTGAAAATCCTGTGAGATTTATTTTTCTCCGAGGTGACATCATCTAAAATAGCCAATAAACAAACAGACGGAGAGAGTGGGATATAACATGTCAGACAAATTTTTGTAGATTTTAGATAGATGGGGGATTTAAGATGAAGGAATTCTAATACACTTGATGGTGTTTCTATATTTATTTTTATTATAGATTCAATTTGTTGATATTCTAAAAATTTCTTCTTGTCGATGCCATATTATATTATTAATATTTAAATGGAACAAAGTCTGCACCCTCAAATATACAGTATGTTCCAGAATTTCAACTCCTTTACATCTCCAACCTGGGAAGTTTAACATAGTTTTTTGTTGTAAGATGTCAGGATTGTTCCAGATGGGTGTTTGTCTACATGGGATTAGTGAAGACTTTGTCATTTTCAGAAATTCCCACAATGCTGTCAGAGATGAGCTGATATTAATGCATTTAAAGCAGACATGTTGTTTTATGCTTATGTTAATGGAAGGTCTGAAACCCTAATATTATGGCACAGTGTTTGTTCTGTGTCAATCCAGGATCCGTCTAATTGGCTAGGATTTAACCATTTTGAGATGTACTTTAACCTGTTGGCCATGAAATAGTGGTAGAAGTTGGGAAGATCTAGTCCTCCCTTATCTTTAGTTTTCTGTAGTGTTTTAGACTAATACGTGGGGTTTTATTTTTCCAAAGGAATTTAGAGATGAAAGAGTCCAGGGATCTAAATCAGTCAGGTGCAGGCCTATTTGGTATCATTGAGAATAAATAATTTAGTCTGGGAAGTACCATCATTTTGATTGAAGCAACTCTTCCCATAAGTGATATTGGTAGAGATTTCCATCTAGTTAGATCCTCATCAATTTTCTTTAAAAGTGGGATGTGGTTTATTTTTAAGTCTTCCAATCTATGAGAAATATTAATATCCAAATATATAATATTACCTGATTGCAGTCATGTATTAAGGGAACTGTTAAAAACACAGTTTATTGGAAGAACTGTAGATTTTAACCAGTTTATGGAGTAGTCAGAAATTACTGAAAAAGAGTTTGTTAATTCAATAACCGGTAACGTTTTCTTTTACGGTACCCTTATTACCGTGTAATTACAAGGTCATAAAAAGCAATTAAATGGTAATTACTACCTTATTACCATGTAATTACATGTAATTAGGGTACAGTTTTACTATGTAATTAATTGTCTGCAGTAATGTAGCACTTACCTGGTAATGCATTACAATTCACTATGTAACATGTAAATAAGTAATAGGTAATTTGGACAGTTTTAAAGTTACATTGCATTGCAATTAACCACTAACACCAAAATTTAGTAAGTAAGTAATTAAGTAAGTAAGTAATTAAGTAAGTAAAGTTTTATTTATACAGGGCCTTTCACAGAAATAAATTCATAAGGTGCTGTACGTTCAGGGAAGGGGGAGGGGGCAGTTAAGAAACACCCATTCAAGAAGACATACAAGACAAACATGGGGGAACAGGTGAAACCGGTCATGCAGCAAACACATTTGCACTACCCTTAACAACAACTTGTACTAAACAAAAGGGAAATTGAGTTAAACAACCTGCGAGAGAGCAAGACAGCCTGGGGGGGCTTAGTTCAGATAAATTTAATTGCATTCTTTTGGTTATAAATATAGTGTTGAGTTACTATTGAATAGTAATTTGATTGTACTTACCCAATAAAGGTAGTTTTACTAACAGTTGTTTTTCTTTTGTACCCTAATTACCATGTAATTACATGGTAATAATGTAATAGTAATTACATTTAATCAAATTTTTATTACCGTACCTTGTAATTACATGGTAATAAGGGTACGGTAAAAGAAAGCGTTATCCAATAACCTGAGATAGAGAGTTTTCTGAGTGCTGAATCTTTTTTATATACAGGAGCGAAGATAAATCAGTCAAGACAAGTCTTCAAGCTATTTCCTCTGGTTTGGAGGAGCAGCTGAGATGGATGGATGTGTCTGATGGACAGAGCTACTGACATGAATTCAGATGCTGGCGACATGTGGAAGTGCTCGCCTTTAAGAAACATCTGACACCAAGGTGAGCCTGTGAGGACGCAAAGAACCTTTCAGCGAAGAAGAGAAACCATGAAGCTGTTATGGTGTGGGGTCGAACCAAGATACTTTTAACCCACCTGTAGAAGCCTCTACACCCCTAAACCCCATGTCACATCTTACCCTGAATGATGGAAGTTTTGTGGAAGATGCTGACTTGGACACTGAGCCTGGTGGTGATGGCTGCTTCTGAATTTCAGAGTGTCTACCGACATTCGCACAAATCTCAAGGTATGAAAGGTGACAGGTGGGCAAAATGTTTTGCAAGATTAATTGTTCTTTTTCTTATTTCGACTGTCCCCTCTTCAGGGATTGTCACAGTAGTCGTGCTTCCATCCAGTTGTAGAGTGAATTTTTATCGAACTTTTCAAAATTCGCAAAAAATTAAATAAAAAAAATATTCAAATCTAGACTGTTTCCATCTAGTTTCCCTCTCGACTGTTTGATGCGAATAAAAGAGGCTACGCAATGCGTGATTACGTCAGACGTCGGCGACAAGCTTTACTGTAGTAAACAGGAAGTGAAACTTGCTAACTAGCAGAGGCTAATCATCTCAGGACAATGGAGCGATTTTTTCATGAATGCCTTGCTGTTGGGCAAGTTGTAATTATTCTATCTATTCAGCTAGTACAGGCTATGTTTAACGCTGCCAGGAGCCGTAAGGAAATTAACACAATGTTTTCGCACATTTATGATAACATCCGGGACGAGGCAGGAAAGCGGAAACAGCTGAATGTCACGTGAGGTAAATATGCGCTACGTCAGAATTTATTCGGCAAACATGTTTCCATCTCAGTTTTGCGCATTAACTACTTTGTGAATCATCCAAAAACCACCTCAAGCGAGCGTAAAAACTTTTTAGCGAATTGAGGATTTGTTTTCGAATTTTGCTTTTTCCATCTGACTTTTTTCTCATTTTTAATGCAACAGTTCTAAATGCGCATCAAAAAGCCTTGATGGAAACACCGTTAGTGCTTTGCATTTCTCTTTGCCACATTTTAAAAGTTTTCACAAAATTTGCATTAAAATTGGATGGAAACATGGCTAGTGAGTCATTCTCCTTCATCTCACCCTGTTCTTTGCATCCTCTATCCTCACTGCAGTTACCTTCATATCTTCTTTAACTGCAACCATATATCGCCTCTTTGTTGTTTTCCTAGCAGCTTTATCTCTAACATCTTTCTACCAACATAACCACTGTACCTGTTCTGGGCATGTCCAAAACATCTCAATCTGGCCTCTCTAAATTTATTTCCCAGTCTTTCATCCTGTGCTGTACATCTGATGATCACATTCCTAATCTTATCCATCCTTGTCACTCCCAAGGAGAACCTTAAACTTGCAGATAATGTAGTATCGATGTCATGAAATGCAGATGTGGGGCAGGAAGTAAATGAAGCCATGTGTCCTTCTGTTGATTCGGTGTCAAAATGTCTAAATTCTGTGCCGTGTACTGTTGTTGCAGCCGCTCTAATCAGGAGAAATATCAACGTTTTTTTTCATGTTCCAAAAGTAGTGTGTCACAAGGGAGTTAAATTTTAAAAACTTTCAGAAAAAATAGGACAAAAAGTGGATCAAACATCTACAGCTAAAAACAGGAGGTGCAGAAACGAACAATGCAACAGTTTGCAGCGACCACTTTCTAACAGTAAGGATTGTATCATTTAAATCATATTGTCAGATATTTTCCTCTATAGTTACTTGAATTTGGGTTTACAGAAGCTAAACAAATTATTTGCTAGTAGATCCAAGCACATAGAAATAACAGGAGTTAACTTGTTAGCGTTAACGATAGCATTGTTATCGTAGGCTAACTACATAGCACAACTCACCCAGGCAGAAACAAGTCAACAGACATTTAAAGTTTTTTGCATCCTAAATGTTTGACCCAACCTGAAATAAAATAATTGTAGCTTTGAGGCTTTTGAAAGCTTTCTTTTAGCTCGTCGTAGCTTGTAACATGAGGTCTGCAGCATCAGACAGTAGTTTATGTTGATCGCCTCAACACCGGGTAAATCCTCCAGATTATATAAAAAAGTATTTTTTTATTAAGATAATATGAATCGTGTCCTACTGTAAATGTACGCATATTTTTTTGCGATATCTTGTGTGCACCAGCCCATTTAGGGCATTAGAGTACTCGCTGTGATCCATTTCACTGTGTTTTGAACCAGAGCAAATCACTTCCTGCCCCCCATCTGACATTCACGCGTCATCCGGGTCACGTGACTGCAACCTAGCAATACAACATAGCTGGTCTCATTACTCTCCACTGATCCTTCAACACAGAGCATCTTCAGAAGACATGTTGATAAGTAAATTTTGAAAATCTGTATTGTTCGATAC